ACTATTATTATAGCATCCTATACAATATATCCCACAATTTTAGTAAGTGGTGTCATGTATCCCTTATGTCTGAAATGACACCTCCTCATCCCTTTGAGAAACTGGAAATACACAAACTCATCTCTTGGCACCGCAATCTGTTATAGGAACAACCTGGGGAGATCCTTCAACCCCAACTTATTTCCAGAAACCAAACAGAGGTGCTCCCAAGCATGTGCCCTGGTTCTCAACATCTTTGCATCTTCCATATAAACTGTTAGGGGTTACAGCTTCAGGTACTGAGTCCACAGCACAGAAGCTTGAAAACTTAGTCTCACTTCCATGTTACAAGCATCTGCTTGGCCCTGTGTGAATCAATCTTGGAGCTTTCTACATTAAATAACCTTAAATGTGGAGCAAAGAAGACCAGAGGGAAGAGAATTTTCTGTTTGGAATGGGAGAGCCTTGCCCCAAGTGGGGAGGTTTTGCATTTGAATGTCTGAAATTCAGCCAGTTCAAGTGTTTTCCTGGTCTTGGCATCGAACAAATGCCTGGTGTTTCACTGTCTCTTAGCATTCTCATAATTGATCACTCTCACATTTTTCCTAATTGATAGCGGGCTCACCTGCAGATACCTCCTTGGAACACTTTAAGGGCATATTTTTCTGGAAAGAGTAGCAAGAACATCCTTTCCCTCCCCCTTTTAATCTTTCTCACGATTATCATCCACACCATCATCACTGTGATTGTCTTTAAGACCATCCTCACAGTCTTCACCATCACCACCACCACCATCACTATCTTTCCTGTCAATGAAGCACTTTAGGGGCCATTATTATGGTCAAGTAGGATAAGTGGCCATCTGCAATGCTGGCATCCCACATGGGCACCAGTTTTTCTCCTAGCTGCTCTACTTCCAACCCAGCTCCCTGCTAATGTACCTGGGGAAAGCAGCCAAGGATGGCTCAAGTCTTTGAGCCCCTGCACCCATGTTGGCGACTGGAAGAAGCTCCTGGCTCCTGGCTTTTGCCTGACTCAGCCTTGGTTTTTGTGGCCATCTGGGGAGTGAAACAGTGGACAAAATATTTCTCTTTTTTTTCTTTTCCTCCTTTCTCCTCCTCCTGTTCTTTTTAATGATCATTTTGATCATCATAGAAACTCAGAGTGACAGGGAAGGTATGGAATAAATGCACTCTATTTTAGAGATCTAAAAACTATGGTTTAGTTTGGCAGTTCTACTTATGGAAGGCACTGCAGACCCAAGGACAAAACCCATCTGCCTCTCTGCCCATAGTGAGGTGGACAAATGTGAGGGTGCAGGGAACTGGAAGCAACTGGAAGAACTCAGGAGTTGAAATCACAAAGAAGTGAGGTTCAGTTTGGGACTCCTGGTACTCGGGTTGAGTGGCCACTGCAGAATCCCCATGAGTGGCCACCTCTTTACCTTTCCGAAACCTTGGTTTTCATATATGGTCAAAAGGTAAATGGGGCTGTTGAACATATTTTTTGTGTCTTAAAAATATTTATTTGAAATACAGAGAGACAGGGAAAGAAGGAGAAGCACACATACACAGATTTTCCATCTGCTGGTTCACTCCCCAAATGCCCATAATAACTGGAGCTGGACCGCACTAAAGCCAGAAGCCAGGAACTCCATCCGGGTCTCCTCCATGAAGTGTCGGGAACCCAAGTACCTGGATCACAGTCTGTTCCTCTCAGGTGCGTTGGCAGGAAGCTGGATAAAAAGCAGAGGTGGAGCATGATTCCATGCAGTCTGAAATGGATTGTGGGCATCCAAAGTGGTGGCTTAACCTGCCACACCACAGTGCCCACCCCTGTTGAATGCTTTTGCTATCATTGTTATATTTTGAGCTGGAAGGACCAAGTGGCAGCGTCAAAGCTTCCATACCTTTCAGGTACAGAATGACATGGGCAAAACACAGTCCCATAAGGTGAATGTAGGTGCAAAGGCTTCTGTACCATTTGGAAGGACAAATTCTCTTTTTCTCATTTCTATTTTTTTTTTGACAGGCAGAGTTAGACAGTGAGAGAGAGAGAGACAGAGAGAAAGGTCTTCCTTCCATTGGTTCACCCTCCAAATGGCCGCTATGGCTGGCGCGCTGTGCCGATCCAAAGCCAGGACCAGGTGCTTCCTCCTGGTCTCCCATGCGGGTGCAGGGCCCAAGCACTTGGGCCATCCTCCGCTGTCCTCCTGGGCCACAGCAGAGAGCTGGACTGGAAGAGGGGCAACTGGGACAGAATCCGGCGCTCCAACTGGGACTAGAACCTGGGGTGCCGGGGCTCCAGGTGGAGGATTAGCCAAGTGAGCTGCGGTGCCGGCCATCTTTTTCTCATCTCTAAACCACATGTGCTAACCCTTCTTGTGTCATGAGTCTTCCATTTGAGGGAAGGGAGAGGAATGGAAAATTAAATATAATTTATGCTTTGCTAATTGAAATCAAATACAAAATTTGATCTCTCACGAGTTGTAATGTTCACATTTCAATGGTGTGGAAGTATTATTAACCCAATTATTTCAGCAAGTTGACTTAGCTTTTCTGGATATAAAATAATTCTTTTGTCAAGATTCCCCACTGAAGAAAGAGACATGGCTTAGTGGCTTGCTCTTGGAATCACAAGGATCAAGCTGGGGTAGATTTTGAAGAACATAGACCTGAAACATGTCAAGTTTGCACTTCTTTCCAGATCCAAGAGCTTTTGACCACATCACTGAATAGACTTAAAAATAAAAATCCTCACAATCTTAAGGGTTGGAGCTCCGATGCTTTACATGCATACAGTGTTACATGCAAAGGTATATATGTAATTTAAGGGGGGAATGTCCCATATCCATTTCTCAGGTGAGAAGAGCTTATTCACCATTGGCTAACTATAATTTAAAAAGGTAATTTGCGGGGTTGGCCTGTGGCACAGTGGGTGAAGCTGCCACCTGTGAAACCAGCATCCCCTGAGAGTGCCATCTTGAGTCCTGGCTGTTCTACCCTACCCAGTTCCTTGCTAATGTGCCTGGGAAAGCAGCAGAAGACAGCCCAAGTCTTTGGGGATCTGCACCTATGTAGGCAACCCAGACACCCAGACAGAACTCTGGACTCCTGGTTTCAGCCTTGCCCAACCCCAGCCATTGTGGCCACTTGGTAAGTGGACCAGCAGACAGAAGATCCTGTCTCTCTTCCCAGCTCCTGTCTTTCTCTATCTCTCCCTCTCCCTGTAACTCTGACTCAAATCAATCAGTCAATCAATTAATAAACCTTTTTCTGAAAATGTTAACTTGCCTGCCATACTTACATGACATATTTATATGAACATACACAGAGTAGCTTCTTTGGAAGCCGCAAGTAAGATATGGATGCTTTAAGTTTACAGAGACAGGCAGATAGCTAGGGAGGTGGGACATGGCGAGTAGGTGTGGTTGAGGGGTGAGTCACTGTGTATGCATCCAGAGTGGAAAAGACTAGGGGTAGGATGGAGTAATGGTCGTTCTTGGTCAGGAAGTGAATACCCTGAGCACCTTTCTTCCACCAGGAACCCCTTGACAATCTGGGTTATAAGGGCACCTCTTACCTAGCTGTGACTCAACTGCAAAAGAGTAATTGTCCTACGCAGAAACCATAAAACCCTGGGGGCCACTTCTGTTAGAACTCAGGAAGCCATTTCTGGAACAAACTCTACAGTTGACTCCCACATGTCATCAGGGCTGAAGCTCACCTACTCCTTGTTCTGCTTATAAAACAAGGACCCACATCAATCAGTCCCACAGTCCACCCTTCTGAACAAATATGCATTTTCTTCCTTTAAATGTGTGTGTGTGTATGCATAGACATTTTGATCTATACCTTCTTTTATGTTGACAGTGAAGGCATACTTGTTGCATTAGTTTAATAACCACTTTCTTATCTGTTAAGAACAATCAAACACACAATGCAAGGCTCTTTCTGAACCTGGCATAGCAGTCCTGGTCTTGCCAGGATCAAGGTAGGGCAAGACGCATCCCTTTCAGTAGCCATGGTTTTTTTTTTTTTTTTTTTTTTTTTTTTTTTTTTTTGGTGCTATTGCAAGAACCATGAGTCACTCTACAGACAAAATCTCCCAAAGACTCTCGAAGTTGGGCCTTTCTGGTCATTCCACAGAAACAGTGCTCTGAGAATTGCAAGGTTGGAATTGGGATGAAAGTGACCAGCAGAAATACACCACTGAAACCCATTAATCAGGTTGCATTAAGCTTTATAACAACACAGTTTTCACTGAGTGGGAGAAATGACAGTTTAATAACAGCTGAACAGATTTAACTCCCCCCCCATTCATACAAATTTCCAATTTTATTAGAACAATTCCTGATTTTGGAGATCTGTGAACAAGTGCTTCATGTCAAACGTTGCATTGTAATGGACTCAGACTAATGGAAAGGGACATTTTATTTGGCAGCCCTTGATGGGAGTGTCTGCAGACAGTCCTTGAACTTCCCCCACTACGGAGAAGCTGGACTTGACAAACTGAGTCATCCCTCTTGCCACTGCCTCAACGTACACCATCTCTGAATAGAAAAAATAAAGCATGAGATGACCCTGAGGGGGTGGGGGACAAACGTTAGGATGGGCTGGTCCCCTCCCCACTGGATCACCATGGGTTATTCATAACAACAGATAGGGCAACTCTCTGGTCTCTTCTTTGTCTCTCTGGGGACTTAGGGGACAGAGACCATCCCCAAAGTGTGCCTCAGAATCATGGCACTTGGGGGACAGGGTCTTCAGGGTAGGGGCCCTCCACCAAGAGGACTGGATGTCATCTTTCCACCCTAGACAAGGTCATCCATCTTGACAACCACAGGGCTTTGATATCAGTAGCAACACCCCCCTCAGAGCAACACTGCTTCCCGATTCTAACACCAGGGCACATGCTAAGCTTCTCCATGATCCGGGATACCCATGAAGAGAGAAGCTGAACTCTCCTTCGGGGGTTCTAAGAAAGAAGGCTTCCAAGGCTGCCAGCTTTTTTTGTTTTGTTTTTGTTTTGTTTGTTTTTGTTTTTGGTGAGGAACAGACATGCTTCTCCCTTTATGATGTGGGAGGGAGGAAGTCAGGGTTGTGGCACGAGGCATTGAGAGAGAAGGCTAGAAACAACTTAGGGGGAGGATCTTGCTTCCTAGGAGTCCCCCAACACTCAGTCACAAACAGCATTGTGGAGAGGAGCCAAAGAGGAGGGTTAGACAGCAGGTGCCTTTGCCACACACAGGGCTAGCACCCAACCTCCTCAAACTATAGTCAGAGCTCCAGAAAGTAAACCTTCTTTCTTTCACCTTTCTGCCACTTGAATAATCACTCATGACACTGTCTCTGCCACTGATAGCTATTTATTCTCTGTCTGCAATGAACTAGCAGAAGACAGGAATGAGCAGTGGGTTCGGGGGGGCCATCTGGTCTACCAGATGCTGCTGCCCAGGGAAGCCTGGTTCCTCCAAGAGGATGTCAGGGTCCACCCACTCTGCCTAAGCTGATAGCATTGGAGGCAATCTTGACCAGACCAAAGAGGGGATGTGCGTGGCTCTCCAGCAAGGCCCAAACTGCAGAACCTGGGGTGGGGGCCGGGGGGTTCAGGACTCGGGGGAAGAACCTCCTGAGCTATTCACTAGCCTTCTCTCCATGGCTCCAGTCTCATTTGTCACCCTCTTCCTGTTCCCATTGGAAGTCCTGACCAGTCATTTGGTAAAACATCATGTTGAAGGGTTTGTAGAATTTCCGCAGTCTGTGGATGACATCTGGGTCAATGCGGGGATGAGTCCGACCCTTGCTCTTGCCTAAGCACCTCGGGGCGCTGCTGTCTTCTGGCTTCTTGAGGCAAGGGAACCCCTTGGTCTTGTTGAAATAGAAATGTTTCTCAGTCACCACGCGCTTGAGGCCTAGGAAGTCCTGGACTTTGGCCATTTCCCCAGCAGGGTCCACTATGAGTCGCTCGCCACTGACAAAGAGGATCTGTGAGAGAGGGAAATACTGGAGCCAGTTTTCCAAGTGCAGAGCGTAGATGCCTATTCGAATGGCACTCCAGGAGGCATCGATGAGCCCTAGGGTCCGGTTTTTGAAGGCCAGCACCTCGAAGGTGGGAATCTCAGGCTTCTTGGACAGGGTCTGGGTGTAGTCAGAGATGGCCCTGGTCACGGGGTTTCTCACCACCACAATCAGTTTGATGTCCTTGGCCATGGAGTGAATGCGCTTAGGAGCCTCATTTGTGACAAAGTAACTAGGCGTCTTCTCCATGGTTATCTGCCCATCCAATGTCTTGGGCATCACATTTCTGGAATAAGGAAGAAAAAGGAAGAGCACGGTTATTCCTATCCAGAAATACCCTACCTTCTTTGCATAACATACATGATATAAATAATCTAGTGAGGAGTTACCAAATGAAATCAATAACCTCTTGGGAATTCTTTGTACCCATGCATCCTGACTGTAGTCTTGACTACGCATTATCAGAAAAGGCAGCAGAAGGCTTGTGCATTCTTTCTTGGGAACCTGATACCTCTGGGTTTAAACTGCTGTTCCACCTATTTTCAGTTAGAGCTAACTTAGATACACCCTTAATTTATCTATGTATTAGCCTTCTGATCTCTGAAATGGAGATGATGATAGTACCAACTTTATACTCTAGTGTAAGGATTAAAGGGGATAATGTTTGGAAAGTATTTAGCACAGAATCTAACATGCGTAAGAGCTTAATTAATAAATCAAGAATATTATTATCGTTGTAGTGGTCTCACAAAATGTTGACTAATACCAAAACCTCCAAGATGATCTTGTCAAGGGTTGGCCAACTACTGCCCACCTCCTGTGCTTCCAGGACTCTCAATGAAGAATGACTTGTAATTTTTACATGGTTGAGAAAAACACACCAAACACATTTTGTGTTGCATCAAAATTGTATGGAATTCAAATTTCAATGCTCATACATACACTTGCATTGAAGCACAGTGACAGTTACATATTGATGCATTCTCAATACTGGTCTTTGCACCACAGTGGCCCAGTCAAGTCCATGTTGCTGAGACTGTATTGCCCATAAAACTTAATGTATTGACCCTTCTGCCCTTCAAGAAAAAGTTTGTTTTGACCCCCGACTTTGTCCAAAGGCATGATGACTGGCCAAGGGGATAGAAAGAAGTTCAGGGACAGGGGGTGGACAAGCAAATCAAACAGACTTGGTGATCGCAGCAAACGCAATCGCATTCCAAGCCTAACTCTCCTCATTTGTAAAATCCTAACACTCACCTCCAGGTCGGTCGAGAAGGAAGTGACAGATAGAGTGAAAGCATATACCCAGCCAGCGCTGTGGCTCACTAGGCTAATCCTCTGCCTTGAGGCGCCGGCACACCGGGTTCTAGTCCCGGTCGGGGCGCCAGATTCTGTCCTGGTTGCCCCTCTTCCAGGCCAGCTCTCTGCTGTGGCCAGGGAGTGCAGTGGAGGATGGCCCAAGTGCTTGGGCCCTGCACCCCATGGGAGACCAGGAGAAGCACCTGGCTCCTGCCATCGGATCAGCGCGATGCGCTGGCCGCAGCGTGCCGGCGGCAGTGGCCATTGGAGGGTGAACCAATGGCAAAAGGAAGACCTTTCTCTCTGTCTCTCTCTCACTGTCCACTCTGCCTGTCCAAAAAAAAAAAAAAAAGCATATACGCAGGTCTGGTTCAACGTATGAGATTTTCTTCTTTCTTTGATCCCAAGGTTGCCCAATGAGCTGCTCTGCATCCCGTAACACAACTCCATGTCTCTCAGGTCTCTCACCACGTTTGCTTGTGCACCTCCACTGTTCTATCCCTGTTTGCCTTTACCATGGCCTTATCTTATTTGGGAGCTTCAAGATATTAAAGGATTTGATAGCATTTCTCCTCCTAGTTGCAACATGGCAGGCCTATCAGAGGACAGTGATCCTCTTATTCACTCAATTTGCTATAGGCATAGGTAGACCAAAGTTAATTGACAATAAACCTATTCAATACTGTTGGTACAGTGGGCCATCTGCCACCATGTGCTCCATTAAGTCTATTCACTTCTGAGCCTTGCACCAAAGTGGTACATTTAGGATTACACAAGACCTTTTTGTTATGATGACATGCTTTTAAATGTCTCAGCTAATAAAACTTAATACAGACGAAGATCCCTTAGCTTCTCCTACCATAATTAAATTTATTTACTATCGCGTGTGTGGAGAAAGAATGACTTTTCTTTTATCTCTCATTCACATGCTCTGTCAATAATTAATTGCTACTGGGTTTTGAGCTTTCTCGGCAAGCACTTTTATTAAGCAAGAAGAATTTGCCTGGTAGAAAAATTCACGTGGAGTCAGACCTTGTTAGAGTATAATGTTGGGCAGCATGGAGTTTTTGGATCAAAGCAATAGCCCTGGACATAAATAATCACACTTGGGTTGGGCTGATCTATTCCTCTGAATGTCTTTATGTTTGTGTACCTGCTATACCTGTTTGGTCCTCAACTGATGTAACTGTCTCTTTGGGGAGGGCAAGGCCAGGGAACACAGCCTTTGGGAACCACATTTGCCTGATTTCAGAATTCCAATGACTCATGACACCTCAATGAATTTAAAGAGCTCATGCTGAGTCTCAATTTCTCATCTAAAAACGACGGTTAATCAGAGTCCAATACCTCATAGGACTGTCATGCAGATAAAATGTGATAGTGCAGGTAAATCACTTAGGATAGCACCCAATCAATGCCAGGATTTTTAAACTGAATCCAGCTACCCAAGATCATTTTCACAGCAATTTTTAGAGAAAAATGGAAGAAAAATATATTTGACCAAATGGAAAAGCTGAAAAACTCAAGAATTAAGGGACTGATCTAAACAATTGGTAAATGCTGGTTCAAGGCTATATCACAGTTTATTACCTGATCGAGGAGCTGTTGACCAACATGGGAGCTAATTAGTTGCGTCTGACTATGAAGAACATACCCACGTCTGGTTTTTGTTTCAATGGAGAGATTAGATTTTTATAGAGCTGACATTATACAAATAGAGTCATTCCTCGGTGTCCCAAAGGGATTAATTTCAGCACCACCCCGTTCTCCCCATGGACACCAAATTTACGAATGCTCAAGCCCTTACATGAAATGACATACTAAAGATGTTCCTTGACTGGAGATGGGGTTCTGTCCCAACAGACCCATCATGAGCTGAAAATATCAGAGGCCAAAAGCGCATGGAATACACCTAACCTGCCAAGTATCATAGCTTAGCAACACAGTACACTGCAGAGTATCAGTTGCTCTCTTTCATGACTGTATAGCTGGCTGAGGGTTGTGGTTTGATGCTGCTCTCTAGCACTGCAAATAACACGTGACATATTGGCAACACAAAAAAAGATCAAAATTCAAACTCTGACATACAGTTTCTACTGAATGCATATCATTGTTGCATCACTGTAAAGTGGAAAAATCGGAAGTGGAACCATCATATCTGGGGACTGTCTATTTGCATATGGACTACAACCTCCTGAATGCCTTAAATCATCTCTAGATTACTTGTAATACCTAATGCAATGTAAATGCTATGCAAATAGTTGTTAAACAGTATTGTTCAGGGAATAATAACAAGGAAAGCGTACATGCTCAATACATATGCAATTTTTTCCCCAATATTTTCAATCATGTTGGCTGAATCAGGGGGATTGCCTGGGAACCTACAGATACAGAGATCTGACTGTATTAACTAAATGTTGATGCAAAAAAATCACCCCCAAAATAGCCATTTTCCATAGCATTTTCCAGATTTTGTTCCCTTGGATGCGTTTTTACTTGTTTATTTTGTGGTAGTTTTCTTTACTACACCGGCAGCTGCTTGGTTTTCTTCTCATGAATTCTTTGTGCTTATACCTAGACCTCAGTGCTTGTTTCCTATGGAGTTCTGTTTGAACGCATCTCCTGTGATTCAACTAATTGTCAATCCATCAAGATCATGGTATATCCTGGCTCTTTTATTTTTTTAAAAGATTTTATTTATTTGCTTGAAAAGTAGAGTTACACAGAGAGGGAGAGACAGAGAGAAAGGTCATCCATCCACTGCTTCACTCCCCAAATGGCTGCAGCGGCCAGAGCTGGGTTGATCCAAAGCCAGGAACCAGGAGCTTCTTCCAGGTCTCCCATGTGGGTGCAGGGACCCAAGGACTTGGGCCATCTTCTACTGCTTTCCGAGGCCACAGCAGAGAGCTGGATCGGAAGAGGAGCAGCCGGGACATGAACCAGTGCCCATATATGGATACCAGTGCCCCAGGCGGAAGCTTAGCCCACTATGCCTCGGCACCAGCCCTGCTCTTGGCTCTTCTATCTGAAGTACCAGGGCTAAAATGGGACCCACCATGTGAACCAGAGAGCTTAGGAGACAGTGTGTGCCTAGCTCGGTGCTTGTTGGGAAAAGGAGCAAGAGAAGGGGCATTGCAGAAGGCTCTGAAGAAGGCAGAGAGGAGCCTAAACAGCTTTGGGGGTCATGCTACAAATGTGAGATCAAAACTCGTCATCTGGAAGAGTTCTTGCATCTGGGCCCGAGTGCTGGGACTGTTTCCTTGAGCCCAGAGCCAACTGTTGTGGCATCAGTTACTCAGTCTGTTCTGTCAGGAAGAAGACGTCCAGTATCAGCTCAGAATCCACGAAGCAGCCATTCCCCTGTCCTAAACTGCTTCAGAACTCTGTGTGTTGATTCCTTCATCCATTCATACATACTACATATGAGCACACATACACTCCATAAAGCATCATTTACCAGTAATGCAACAGTGAACCAAGCAGACATAGTCCCTTCCTCCACACAGCTACAGTCTAGCTACCAAATGACTAAGTGCAGCGCTCTTTATAACGTCGCACAATGAACCATTTTAATCAGCAGAGCGGGTATCATTATGACTGCAGTTTTACAGAGAAGGAAATGGGCTCAGAGCCTAAAGATACTTTCCAAGGTCCCAACGAGTGAATGCGTCTTTTGTCTATAGTTCAGCGGTTGAGCAAACATAATTCAACACCAGTTCCTGGCAAACAGCAAGGGCTCAATAAATCTCTGTTGAAGACATGGATGGATGACAAGCCATGAACTTCCTCTCTTAAGTCTAGTCCATTCCTAAGGGCAGGTTTGTGTTGAAGTCCCTTCCTTTCCTCCATCCTTGTCTCTTCATCAGGGTTCTTACTGCACCTCACGTCCAAGAAATATTTCTGTATCATCCTGGTCTCTCTCCTTACAGGACGAGGGGAAAGATCCATTCTACTGGAGAAGCCCAACCCTTCCACCTGCTTGTTGGA